AGCTGATGGCGAAGGGGATTCACTTGGAAGCCGACAGCACCACCCAGGAATTTAAGTTATACCACGGGAGGGGCGGCCTCTACATCGGGAAAGCAGTGTTGAAGAATAACGTCTTCGTTCTTGACTTCGTCCCCGACATGGGCACTGCAGACAACGACGCCATCGTCAACTTTACCGACTGGACACACCCTCCGGTCCTCGATCCTGATTTCAGTCCAGGAGGCTTCTGGTACTCACACACCATCCCTGAAGCAGAGCGAACACGAGCATTAGCAACAATTCAACAATTGACAGCAGCAGAGACAACATCGGCAGCAGTAGAGACAACATCGGCAGCAGCAGAGACAACATCGGCAGCAGCAGAGACAACATCGGCAGCAGCAGAGACAACATCGGCAGCAGCAACAACATCGGCAGCAGCAACAACATCGGCAGCAGCAGGAACAACGACACCAGTCATCGTCGACGAAGCACCACCAACACCCGCACAACAGCTGAACACGAATCAACGAGAAGTCCACCGCAGCGTCAACTTCGTCGCCAGCTTCTACTCCAACTCCGACGCATATCAACGTTCACCCGGACACCGCGCCTCCGAAGACATCTGGCACGCACGCACAGGACATCCAAGTAACACGGTGTTAAATAATACGATACGAGCAGGAGTGCTAGACAAAGACTCGCTACTACTACTCGACGGCAGAGAACTTCAACGTGCACGGGGGACTTGCCTCATCTGCCCCGAGGCCGACTTACCACATCGACCTTTTTCTTCTCACCACAACCCGAGCGCACCTCCATACGCACCACTCGAAGAAGTCTACAGCGACATCCTCTACAATCGAGAACCAGGCCAAGTAACCTATAATTACACGATTACCTTCATCGACGCCGCCACTCGATACGTCTGGCATCGCAACCTACCCAGCCGCGACATGGCACTCGCAGCATTCGCCGCTTGGCTACCGGTAGCAGAAAGGGAATCAGGAACGCAGCTGAAAAGCTTCCAATCAGACGGAGGTGGCGAATACACCTCTCAGCGCTTCAAGCAGTACCTGACGGAAAGGGGGATCAAGCAACTCCTCTCCCTTCCCTACGCACATCAGCAGCAAGGTGTTGCAGAAAGAATGAACAGGACCCTGCAGAACAGCATGCGCAAACTACTACGTGGCATGCGGCTACCCAACCACCAGTGGCCAGCAGCAATGGACCATGCTGTCATGCTGCACAACTTGCTTTCGTCGTCGTCACTCCCGAACAACGCATCACCGCATCTGCTGTGGACAGGAAAGCAGGGCAGCACAAAAATGTTACGAGTTTTTGGGTGCATGGTACAGTACCGACCCCCAGAAGCACGAGCGGGAAGATTTTCGCAACGGGCACAGTGGGGACTACACCTCGGCATCGAGAAAAATTACAACGCATGGAAAATCTTCGACGTCCACACAAAAGAAACAGTAGCAGCACGTGATGTGATCTTCTACAAACGACTCACCCTTCAGACGTACCTCGCCAACTTGCACGAGAATCGGGACCCCACAGGTGGCTTTCGTGGTGACCGAGCCTTCGCCTCAGCAGCGGACGAAGCAGACTGGGATGAACAGAACGTCGACAACGCATCGGAGGAAGCCGGACCTCTCCCGTACTGCTCCGTCGATGTGCCCATGGATGAAGACAATCCTCGCGACAGTAACAACGCCGAAGTCTTCTACCACTTCGCCGACAACGGTTACGTAACACCTGCGACAGTCAACACCAACGAAACAGAAAGGATAGGGCCAAATTTCATCCCCGACCCAGAAGCGGGAGACGAAGCAGCTTATCCCGAGGATCCACAACTCCCTCGATACTCACAGACTGGGCTACAAATCCTTGGCCTCGTCACCGCAGTCCACGGGACCGCCGGCAACACTCTTCCTAAAGAGCCTGCGACAGTTCAGCAGGCTCTGGGGGGGAAACACAGGGAAAAATGGCGTGAAGCCATGGACAGGGAATTAAATGCATTGGAGGAACGCAACACCTGGAAGGTCGTTCCCGCAAGCGTGGCACGGAACAAGACCATTCTCACCGGGAAATGGGTCTTCCGCATCAAGACGAAAGCTGACGGCACAATCGAGAAGTTCAAAGCACGCTGGGTCGTGCGTGGATTCGACCAGGAACAAGGACGAGACTTCACCGAGACCTTCGCCCCAGTTAGTCGACATACCTCTCTACGCATTCTTCTCGCCGTCGCCCCCATGAAGAAGAAGAAGCTGCGACAGATCGATGTCGCCAACGCATTCCTCTACGCACCCGTCGACGCAGACATCTTCGTCGAACTCCCACACGGCACTCACGGAAACCCCAACCAAGTCTGTCAACTACTGAAATCGCTCTACGGAATCAAACAAGCCCCGCGACTGTGGCAACAGCACCTACACACCCGCCTCACCCGCATCGGATTCCGACAACTGCCTCACGACCAAGGAATGTATCGCCTCACCAAAGGCGCTGACTACATCTTACTGATCGTCTATGTCGACGACTTACTTTACATCGGCTCCACCGACGACGTCATCACCTGGTTCGAAGGGGAGCTGCAGAAGGACCTCACGCTCACCGTCTCCTCCACAGTCACCCAGTATCTCGGGCTCAACATCCGCGAAGAAGAAAATGCTATCTACCTCAACGCCGAGAAATACGCCGACACTATCGCCAAGCGCTTCTCTCTCACGCCTACCGCCATCGCCACGCCATACCGCCACACGACAGGAAGCGGCAAAGGAAATCCCGCTCCATTTAAGGCTGCCGGAATACGAGACTACCAGAGGAAACTAGGCTGCCTCCTCTTCGCAGCCGTAACCTGTCGCCCGGATCTATCCTACTCCGCGAGTCAACTCGCCACCTATCTCAAGAAACCCGAACCTGAGCACATGGCGGAGCTCGATCGCGCACTGCACTACTTCGTGAGCACACCGACGATCGGCCTAACTTACTACCAGGGCGAAGCTACGACGACGCAACTAATCGGCTACGTCGATGCTGACCATGCCGGCGATTCTGATAACAGGCGTTCTCGTACCGGCTACGTCTATCGTCTCGAGCCTATCGGGCCTATCTACTGGCAGTCGAGTAAGCAGGAACTAATCGCTCTCTCTTCAGCTGAAGCAGAATATATCGCCCTCTGCTCAGCCACCAAGGAAGGACTCTACCTTCGCGAGCTGCTGGAAGAAGCAAAGTTAGCCGAGTTACCCAACTTCACCCTGTTCTGCGACAACCAATCTGCAATTCGCATCGCCAACAAAAGCGGATTCGCGAACAGAACGAAGCATATCGCTCTACGATACTTCTTCGTAAAGGACGAAATCGAGAAAGGGAAACTCGAATTATCCTACTGTCCCACGTCCGAGATGGCAGCCGATTATTTGACCAAGAAACTCGGAAAACAGAAGTTCGAGTACTGCATGCTGCTGACTGGACAAGGCCACGTCACCATCAGCGACACTCCAGAAGCGAAGGGGAGTGTTGGGAACAATAAGTCTTAAGGCGCCTCTGTCGTGTCGAAACTCAGGACACTAGCGAAGCAGCCCAAATCGAAGCATCGCGAGTCAACCCTCGGAGGTTAGGGTAACCGCCTGGAGGTTACGGGAAATTCAAAGGTCAGCGACCTTTGACTCGACAATTTCAGCGCGACAGCAAGGACACACAACTGACTCGACATTGAGCAGTTGCCCGAGTCGCACTATATCGAATCGCAACAGTAAAACGGTTTAAATCTATCTATTCGTATTCCTTGTACTCTTATATAAACCTTGTATTTGCTTGTTTAATTTAACTTACTTTGCCCTCACATACTAGCGCAAGGTGGTTCAATCACTGTATACTTCAACGCTTCCGCTATTACAATCCTATTCAGTCCTTAAGCTCTACAAAGATCCTAGGGCTTCTCAGCCCAACAGGGATGGCCTCGCTAACGAGTGCCTCAGTAAGGCTTCTGTAAATCCTTACATCACTCGCCTCTGTTAAGTTACCATACGCGTTAAGCGAGTTACCAAACGTGTGACGTGATTTACCAAACGCGTTGAGCGAGTTACCAAACGAGTTGAAATCGTTACCGTTTGCGTTATACTGCCCCATGTAAGTTACCATTGACATATTTTCCCGAAGATAAATGCCCAAGGACAAGCAAAGAAAGCCACGTGGCAACTTGGTTCGGATAGGTGGTTAGGCGGAAGCTCACATGAAAACTTCAATTGGCCAATTGGTTGCGAGGAGACTGACACAATAACGGGAGCTGCCGGCTGGCTGATGGTGTTCCCAAGTTCCGAAGTTCCAGCCTTAGTCCAAAGGTGTTGACGACCGCGCACGTAGTTGGCGCCTTATCGCCTGTGACTTAGGGATGCGACGGAGCGGATCATGCAGAAGTGCGGCGAGGGTTTTCGCCCATATCAGGCAAGGCAGATTTACAGGGAGAAGCGGCGGAACCAGCCACACTTCCAGTGGAGCACTTTCGGCGTGGGTGAGGTCCTCACACTCCAGTCTTCGAGAGCTAGTAGCAGTGCTCGTACAGTACTGTACTGTACCACTGTCGAACCGCCGGCGTATTGTAACCAGATAGCTGGCGCAGCGGCTGAATCATGTTGCAATTGCGATCCCACCACCATCTTACAAACGGCTTGTCCCGTTACCGTACCTGTCCGCCACGGCGTGGCGCGATGGTACGAGCCCGTCGAACAAAGGCTCCCAGCAGGGTTCGTACCGTCCGCACCGCAGCTGTTGTCGGTTGAATCGCCGCTACTAGCAGTTATGGTACGGCCTGGCGGGGGTTTGCGTGTCTGCCTGGACTTCCGCCTCTAGTTCAGTTCAGACGTTTTACCGTACTGTCGCTCCCTGGGAGCCTGGCAATTCATACAGTCCAGTCTAGATTGCACAGCCCGTCGTAGCCTCTGACGTGCCGTTTTGCTTGCCAGCCATCCCTCAATCTCACAATCAGTTCGAGTCGCCGCAGCATACGGCACGGCATGAAGCTCTTACCACCGATCGCCGCCGCGGCGCTTCTCCTCGTCGCCGTGGCGGTAGCGGCGCGCGTGCCGGCGGCGAGCGCGGCCGGGTGGGTGGAGCTGGACCTCACGCAGACAGGCGCGGCCAGTGACGCGGCGCTCGCGCAGAGAGCGGCGGGAATCGCGGTGGAGCAGTACAACACACAGACGGTGAGTCGCTCGTATCAGTGATCCGCCGAGTCGCGGCGGCTGTCGAAGCAGAGATACATGGGTTGACGGGCTCATTTCCAGCAGCGAGTGCCGGCTCAGGCAGGCGATTTTTCTTTGCGGTGGAGCAGTACAACGCGCAGACGGTGAGTCGCGAGTACAACGCGCAGACGGTGAGTCGCGAGTATTACTACCTGATTTCCCCCCCGCGAAGCTTATTGAGGGCGGATGCGGAATCATGCCGGGGTCGCGGCTCGGGCAATTGCCGAAGAGTATTTCGCGTTGCTTCAAGAGGCGAGGCTCATACAGTTGACGCAGAGTTTCCCCTTCAAAGAGCCTCTTTTGCGACCGCGTCCCGCACGCGATAATTGAACGACCACCGGCGCAGTATCCGCGTGTCACAGCGTGTTTCCCTGGCTGCTGCGTTTGCGATAGCTCTCCTACTCCCCCGCAGGGTGCGAGGCGAAGGGAGTTCTAGTAACCCCTCCTCTTGATCGCCGCGTCGGCCACAATTCGCCGCCGCCATTGGCGCGCGTGATGCCTTCAGAACGCCCTCTCTTAGCAATCGGCTGAAACAATGACTATGTGCAATCACAATGACTGGATGCTCTTGTCTTGGTACCACGATGACATGATGCCCGTGTAGACCATGACATGACATGACATGACATGACACCACAGTACTGTGTGCGATTGGCCCTCAGACCAGGTCGCCGCGTTGGCGTTCCTATGCTGCACAATAGCCAGGAAGCGTACAGCGTGTTGTCAATCAGTGGGTTGTTTCCACCGCGGGAGATAGAGACGGCCATCCCTGCCGCGTGCAGGTTCATCCCCGCTATAGAGTCATTCTGGCCGGTGCGCACCCCACCAAGTCCTCCACCCTCCCAATTCCCACCAGCAGCGTTGAGTTGACACTGATCTTGGATCCATGTACCTATCATTCAGCCTTGTCCTGCATTCCAGCAGCCGCAGCAGCACTGGTGGCAGCGGCAGAACCAATGGCCAATCCCTGCTCCCGCCTCCTCCTTTCTCTCCATGTCTCCTCTGCTCCCCCCCTCCCCCTCCCTCTCCCCCTCTCATCCCCCCTCCCATTCCCCTTCCCCCTCTCCCTTCCTCTCCCACTCTCTGTCCCCCTCTCCTTCCCCTCCCTTTCTCCTCGTTCTCTGCAGAGATCCGCCCGCTCCTTCGTGGTGGTTCAGTCCACGGAGGTCGTTGTGCCCGCCGATGTCGGGCGGAGAGCCGTCATCCGCGTTACCTTCACTGCCCGCGAGCAGGAGAGCACATAAAGGAGGCTGTTGAGGGAACACAAGGGCGCACTGCGAAAGCTCCTTGGCAGCCAAACACCCACCCATCCACCAAACCCTCCCTCCCCTCCTGCCCTGCTCTCCCCTTGTTCTCTGCAGAAATCTGCCCTGTCGCTCGCGGCAGTCAAGTCTGCGGAGGTATTTGTGCCCGCTGACGTGGGGCGGAGAGCCGTCATACGCGTGGCCTTCACTGCCGGCGAGGAGCAGGGCGTGTTGAGGAGACTGCTGCGCGGCCCTGGCAGCACAGTCGCGGTACAGGCGGAGATTGCGGGAACTTCGCACGAACTACACCATTATAAGCTGGAGCGATTTGTTACAACTGGATGAAGTGTAATAGACAGACATAATTGTTTTTGTCCTTACTGGAGAGAATTTATATTACTGGGCATTGCATTGCCAGTTGTGACCGCATCCTGGTTGAGTGGGTGTTGCTAACACGCTATGGCAACAGTGACTTGCTGAGCCCTTTAAGGCAAGCGAAGGGCTTCTACTGTGATTCTGTTGTATGGGGGTGCATGGAGTGTGCAGCTGCTTGTGAATCAGAAATGATAACCTCAGTGTGCTCTTGCACTGCATGCATCCATGCATGCCAGCTTCTGCATGGCCCCGCCCTATCCATGAATGCATGTGGTTACAAATCAGAGCCAACATTTCACCTCAGGAGGAGCACAGCATTGACTGCCAGATGCTAGCTACCTACCCATGAGGCTTCTTCGCCCGAATGTACCCTTGCACGCCCTACCCTTACTTTTCCCAGTACCAGGTACACTCGCCCCAACTGCTCTGCTTCCTTAGGCACCCACCTCATGCTGAGAGGTATGGCCGCGTGACACCATCCTCCCCCTCCTTCCACCATACCTCCCAACTTCATCCAGAATTCAATAACGTCACCCATACTGCCCATTGACCAATCCTAACGACTGGCCTCCACCACCACCACCGCTCTATTCCATTGACCAGCCAAACCCTTGGTTCACGGCAACTCAAGAAGATCTGCACTGCACTGCAGCAGCCTCTTTTCCAGAACCCTAACAAATCAGCCATCCTGCCCCAATCCTCTAAACCACTCTCCACCACTCCAATCCATCCAGCGGAACCCTTGGTTTATGGCACCTCAAGAAGAGCAGCAGAAACCGCTTCTCCTCAAACACGACCCATTCCACTTTCCACCACGCATGCCATCATGCCATGTGGTACGGCACCTTGCATCGCATCAGGCATGACATCGCCCATCCCACCTAGTCATCCTCATCTGCGGCACCTGGCATGGCACCTGCCATGGAACCTGGCATGACACCTGATGGCACCTTGCATGGCACCTGCGGCACAACATCCCCCACCCAGCCCTCCTAGTCATCCTCATCGCTCTCCACCACTCTCTTCCTCCGCCACGCAGCCGCGTTCTTGCTCTCCTCCCTCTCCTCCATCCAAGGTGCCTAAACAACCCTGCATACCAACAAAGATACCACCCGGCACAGCATCCCCCAGCCATCCCCTCCAGTCCTCCTCATCCCCCCCCTACTCCTCCTCCCCCGTTCATATGTTTTGAGTCGACTCAAAACGTTCCACCTACTCATCCTCATTGCTCTCCACTACTCTCTTCCTCAACTGCCCCACCTCGCACGCCACCTGCCATGGCACCTGCCATGGCACCTGCCATGGCACCTGCCATGCCACCTGCCATGCCACCTGCCATGCCACCTGCCATGGCACCTGCCATGCCACCTGGCACGGCATCCCCCAACCCATACCACCTACTCATCCTCATCGCTCTCCACCACTCTCTTCCGCCGCCACGCTGCAGCCTTCCTGCTCTCCTCCCGCTCCTCCATCCAATCCTCCTCATCCCCCCCCTGTTCCTCCCCCCCTCCCCGCCCCCTCTCCCCACCTCTCCGCCCATACCCCTCATCATCAGACTCCTCCAATCTCCTGCCCCTGCCCCCCCGGCCCTCATCATACCCCCCTCGCCCCCTGTCCCCTTCAGACTCCTCCTCATCACTATACCGGCCTCCTCTGCCTGAAGCCTTTGCAGCCTTGGCGGGCCGATGGTCGTAGGAGGGCGAACGCTGGTGGGGGGAGGGGAGGGCGCAGGCAGGATGAAAGAGGCAAGGGGGAGAGGGTCTATAGGAGGGGCGATGGTCATAGGAGGGAGAGGGCTGGTGTGGGAGCTGGGATGAAAGAGGGGGTAGGGAGTGGGGAAAGGAGGGACGATGAGGACTTGGAGGGTACTGATGGCACACCAGAAAGGCTGAGGACTGGCAGCCTCCTCTGCCTGAGGACTGGCAGCCTTGGCGGGGCGATGGCCGTGAGAGGGAGAGGGCTGGTGGGGGAGGCAGGATTTAAGAGGGGGTGGGCTCAAAAGTGTTGCATGGAAGGAACATGCACTCCAGTGGCCGTATAAGGTACAAATTGCAGAGAGAAGTGAAGGCGTTGGGCAGCAGGGAGGAATGAAGGGGTTGGGCAGCAGGGAGGAATGAAGGGGTTGGGCAGCAGGGAGGAATGAAGGGGTTGGGCAGCAGGGAGGAGTAGAGGGGTCGGGCAGCAGGGCGAGGGAGAGAGAGAGGTGCAAGAATGAGACTGAGACAATGTGATGAGGGGACAATGAGGTGAGAAGAAAGAAGAAAGGTTAATCCAAGCACTCACCCTCTTCCCTTGCCGCCGATCGTATCTATCCTCCTCTTCCTCCTCTTCCTCCTCATATTCGTCCTCTTCCTCCTCTTCCTCCTCGATTTCGTATTCGTTCCGCCGCCCGCCCCCTCCCCTCCCTCGATCCCGTCCATACCCATAGCCCTCCTCCTCCCTCTGTTGCAGCACATGCCATGCCATGCAGCGTAAGGTGTGGCATGGTACCAGGTAAAGGCATGACGTGTCATATTGCAACACCATTGGCACACCATGATACCATATCATCTCATGTCCAGTTCACACCACACACCAAGCCATGTCACCACAGCACCATGCAACACACAGCATGCAGCACACAATCACCATGCATGCAGCACAGGCCAAACACAAGAAATAAATGCATGTGAGAAGAATGCAAGAGCTGGTGCTGCTGCTACAAGGGGACGGATCGTCGTAGCACACACACACAGCAGAGGAGGGTGAGAGTGTGTGTGTGCTCATGCCACACCGCTTGTGGTCACCACCTTCTCGCGGCTGCCGAGAAAACTAGGTAGTATGCCTCACACGATCGCCATGGCACTTAATGCCACCCCCTTCTCCCTCCGCACCTGTCGGTACCCCTCTGCACCTGTCAGTACCCCTCCGGACCCTGTCAGTACCCCCACCCACCTGCACCTGTCGGCACTCCACACACCTGTTGCCGGTACCCCCCCCCGTATCGCTGCTGCTCGCGGTCGCGTGCGGCACGCTGCTGCGGCTGGTTGGAGTATTTCCGCGCTCGCTTCTCCTGCTCCTGCCTTAGAGTCTCCTTGGTGCGAATCTGCTGCTGAATGCTCTGTAAGGTTGGGAAAGACGGCGGGAAGGAGGGGGGGTGAAAGAAGAGTTTGTTGCTCCAGTTCCCGCCTTGGAATATGAACTCTCGTTTTCACATGAGCATGTGCATTGCCACTGACTGACTGACCGGCCGACTGACTGACCGGCCGACTGACTGACTGACCGACCGACCGACCGACCGACTGACTGACTGACCGACCGACCGACCGACCGACCGACCGACTGACTGACTGACTGACCGACCGACTGACTGACCGACCGACCGACCGACCGACTGACTGACCGACCGACCGACTGACCGACCGACCGACTGACCGACGGACTGACCGACCGACCGACCGACCGACGGACTGACCGACTGACCGACCGACCGACCGACCGACCGACTGACTGCCTGACAGGCCACGGCCCTCACCCGCTCGCGCTCCTCCTTCTCCTTCTCGGGGTCGCCAGTGGTGACGATGCTCTTGAGCTCCTTGCCCTTGCGGTACTTTGAGTCCAGCCCCAGCGCCAGCTTCTTGTGAATCAAACTCACTCACACCCGCACGTGCCCACGCACACACTACACTCTCTCTTTCCGACACCAGCATGTGCACTGCGACTGACTGATTGACTCACTGACTCACTGTCTCACTTGGTCACTCCTCACTCACTCACTCACCCACTCACTCACTCACTCGATCACACACTCACTCACTCACTGACAAGCCACCACACCACACGCCACTCACCCGCTCGCGCTCCTCCTTCTCCTTCTCGGGGTCGCCAGTGGTGACGATGCTCTTGAGCTCCTTGCCCTTGCGGTACTTTGAGTCCAGCCCCAGCGTCAGCTTCTTGTGAATCAGGCTGTGCGTGTCGAATGGGCGGAACCGCATCTTCTCTAATAGCTGTCCCTGCCCCTGCACCACCCCTTGCTGGCAGTGGGTGGGCGGGAGGAAGGGGGACGGGGAGGAGAGGGAGAGAGTGAGTGAAGGGGGCGGGGAGAGGTGAGGGAGGGAGAGAGCAACAGAGGGAGGGGAAGTGGAGGAGGGAGAGGGAGAAAGGGTCAGCTTCTTGTGAATCAGGCTGTGTGTTGAATCAGGCTGTGTGTGTTGAATCAGGCTGTGTGTGTTGAATCAGGCTGTGTGTGTTGAACGGGCGGAATCACATCTTCTCTACCAGCTGCCCCTGCCCCTGTACCACCCCTTGCTGGCAGTGGGAAGAAGGCAGAGAGGGAACGGGGAGATGATGGAGAGAGGGAGAGGGGAGGGAAGGGAGAGAGGGAAGGAGGAGAGCGGGAGGTAGAGACAGAGTGAGAGGAAGGGAGAAAGGGGATTGAAAGGGTTTCACCGGATCATTCTGCATGTTTGTACCCTGCCTGAATCAATACAACGGACCGTTTGAGAGAGGAGAGAGGGAGGTAGAGAGAGAGTAAGAGATTGAGAGAGTGACCCTGGGGTGGCGCACGAATAGGTGTGTCTTGTGCTGCTGTATGCTCTTCACGTCAGTCGCTAGCACCTAGAAGCTCCGTAGGATGAGAAGTATAACACCTTGAGAAACAGAACCTTAAAAGTAATACCAGCTAACGTGGGGTGGCGCACGAAGAGGTGCACCTTGGATGCTAATTATACGTTTACCAGGACCTTGGGGAACAGAGCCTTGGGGTTCTAACAGCACCTTGGGGAAACAGCAGCACCTTAGGGTGGCGCACGAATAGGTGGGCCTTATCGTGCTGCAAGCTCTTCACATCCGTGGCCAGGCCAGCAATTGGGTACTACCAGTCCAGTGATTTGGGGGAACAGTACCTTGGTCCTCCGGGTACCAGCATTACCTTAGGGTTGCGCACGAAGAGGTGAGCCTTGTCGTGCTGCATGCTCTTGATGTCTGTGGCCAGCACCTCGGAACTGAGTTAATGCTAGGATCAGTATGCATGTAGCAGGACCTTGTCAAACGTACCTTGGGGTGGCGAACAAAGAGGTGCGCCTTATCATGCTGCATGCTCTTGATGTCTGCGGCCAGCACCTCAGCGCCCAGCAGCAGATGCAACGAGCCGTCTGACCACCTCACCATGCGCGCGTTGCTCTCCACCTGGTGCAATGGGATGGCACGTGGGATGACACGTGGGATGACACGTGGGATGACAGGTGGGAGATAGAAGGCGGCACAAACCGCCGCCGCACATTGCTATCCAACCGGGGACAGGCGGTGGAGGAAAGTTGGAAATGGAGATGAAGGACGGTACCTGCTAGGTCGCATTCCCCCATTCCACCAAGCAGGACAATGGGGGAATAAGAACAGCAACATTACGTTTCACCCAACCGCGCACCACAATGCCATGCCATAACAAATTGCTAGATCACCACCACACATTGCTAGACCACACATCGCTAGATCATCACACATTGCTAGACCACACATTGCCGTACCAGCAACCAATGCCTCTCCACGTGATAAAGAATCCAACTGCTTCCTCATACACTCACCCCATGCTGCACCCACTCGCCCCATGCTGCACTCACCCCCATGGTGCCATCGGGGCGGCGCACGTGGCGCCAGCGAATGAGGTTCTGTGGGCCGCCCTCCTCGTACGTGTCAGGGTCGAATGGGGCTGCTTGAATGCCCACTATGTTGCTAGCCATCACCATCACCATCTGGCAAGGGGTGGAGAGAGAGGTTAGAAAGGGGCAGAAAGGTCAAATGAGGTTCTGCGGGCCGCCCTCCTCGTACGTGTCGGGGTCGAAGGGGGCTGCTTGAATGCCCACTATGTTGCTCGCCATCACCATCACCATCTGGCAGGGAGAGGGGAGGGGCAATGAGGGGCAGCGAGAGGCAATGAGGGTCGAAGGTCGCTGCCTGGATGCCCACTGCCCACCATCTGGCGCGGGGTGGAGAAAGTGGGTGAGGAGACGCGGAGAGCGGCAGAGGGGGGCAATGAGGGTCGAGCAGGGTGGAGAGGGGCAGAGGTGCATGGAGAGGGACGGAGAGGGTGAGAGGAGAAGAGAGCATGCTCACAAATTTTGTCAAAAAGGGAGGGGATTTTGAAGAGGGCGGAGTGATGAACACACACGCCCAGCACACACACACACCCTGTGAGGCGCTACCCTCCCTGTCGGGTGGAGCAGGGGAGTGGACGAGAGAGAGAGATCGAGCTCTAAGAGAGGCCTCTTGTGTGGCAAGGCAAGAAGAATGAACACACATACACATGACCTGGCAAGACAAATGCGCAACCCATCTTGAGAGGTGGAGCCGGGGGGTCAAAGAGAGAGAGGTCCAAGGGGGGCCCTTGTGTGGGTACAGGACGAACACAGCACACACACATGAAAGGGCCGCACAAAGGCACAACCCACCTTGTCGGGTGGAGCAGGGGGGTCAAAGAGAGAGAGGTCGAGGTCCAAGGGAGGCCCCTTGGGTCGCTCTCTCGCCCTCCGCCGCTCCCCGCCCTCCTCATCCCACCGCCCCTCCTCGTCATAGCCGCCCCTCTCGTGCCTCTGCTCCCCCTCCTCCGACTCATACCCATGCCGCTGCTGATTGAGACGAGGGGAGGAGGGGCAGGGGGAAGAGAAGGGGGAAAGTGGGGAATGGCTTTTGAGACGTCTCAAAACTCATCATATCCCCCCCTCGCGTACCTCTGCTCCTCCTCTGACTCATACCCATGCCGCTGCTGATTGAGACGAGGGGAAGGGGTGGAAAGTGGAAAAGAGGGGGAACAGTGGGGGATAACAGGGGCAGAGAAGGCATGAGAAGATGCCACGGCAACGTGCGTGGGGAGTTGTCGGTGCTGTGCTGCGAAATTGCATCAGCCACAGCACCGACTTTCGGAGTGCCTCTCGTCCCCCTGCTTCCTCCGGCTCGTACTCATGCCTCTGCTGTGTGAGGAAAGCGGAAGGAAGGTGGTTAGCAGGAGCGGAGAAGGCAAGGCATGTGTGAGTGACGATGCGACAACAGCATGCGTTGGCAGATGGTGTGGTGCGAAATTGTAACATCGGCCTTTTAAACCATTCACATTCAGAGAGGCAAGAGGAGTGCCTTACAGGGGACGCCAGGGGAGTGACAGTGCCTTACAGGGGACGCCAGGGGAGTGACAGTGCCTTACAGGGGACGCCAGGGGAGTGCCTTGGGGCGAGCGGCTGGCCTTCCTCTGCTTCCTGCCCGCATCCCTCCCCTCCTCGTCCTCCTCCTCCTCGCTGGACTCTCCAAACAGGTCTCTCTCTGTCACCTGCTGCCGCACCTTGCGCCCACCCCCACCTGCCTCATCGCCCTCCCCCCCACTCCCCTCGCTGTCTCTGTGCCGCCCTGTGACTACCCCTCTGCGGCACAGCAGCACAAGCACGCGAGCATGGGAGGTGGGGGCAGGGAGAGCGGGAGGGAGGGGGGCAAACGAACCACAGTTCATCAGCGTGATGAGTGGGGAGCGGTGCTGTGCCAGGGAAAGGCATGGACCACTCAATTCGAGAGGGATTGGAGAGGGATTGAGAGGGATTGAGAGGGACTGCGAGTGATTGATTGAGAGAGATTGAGAGGGATTGAGAGGGATTGGAAGGGTTGAGCAAGCACACGACCTAGTAACGCCTGGTACAGAGAGGCCCGTGGTTCCCAAGGCACTAGCCCTGAAGCTCATTAGCATATGCCTGCCTGCCTTATACATGCGTAGTTCACAGCACAACAGCAAACCAGCAGCACGCAAGAATGGGAGGCGACGGCAGGTGGGAGAGAGGGTTGGGCCAGGCAAGGCGTGCGTGCCATGGGATGGGAAAGACCAATCAACTCGAGGGGTTGAGAGAATTTGTGAGGGGTTGAGAGGGGCGGCAGGATTGAGCATGATTGAGAGGCATTTATAGAAGCACATAACCGAAGACCGCCTGGTAGAAAGGTCCTTGAGGTTCTTGAAAGTCAAGGCTTTAGCCCTGAAGCGCATCAGCACAGCCCTGCATGCAGCAGGCTCAGCAGGCCGTGTAAGGTGATGGTGCGAGCATCACGCATGGGAGGGGTTGAGCGCGCGAGCCGCGCATGGGAGGGAGAGAGTGAGAGGCGCGGAGGAGGGCGAAGGGTGGAGAAATGAGGAGGGGAAACGCGGATGGGATGAGGGAGGGCGGGGAGTGGGGGGGATTAGAAGGGGGAAGAGGGCGGGAAGAAGAATGGTGGAGGGGGCCGAGGCAGGGACGGGAGGGCGGGAGAGGGGAGCGGAGGGGAAAAGGAAGGGAAGGATGGGACGAACGATAGGACGGAAGGTGGGACGCAGGGAGGCAAGAAAGGAGGAAAGCAGGGTGGGAAGATGAGAGGAACGAAGGGAGGGAAAAATCAGGAAGAGAAGTGGGGGATTCAGGAAGGAGGGAGAAGGGAGGAGAGATTGGTTGTGAGGAAAGGGAGAGAGAGCCTTTACCTGGGAGAGCGAGGGGAGTGGCGATGATGCTTGGGAGACCGCGGACTTCTGTCCCTCTCCTCCTGCCTCTCCTCAAACTCCTCCTCCTCCTCCTCCTCCATCCCCCCTTGCCTCCCCACAAACCCGCCTCTCCTCCGCCCCCCTTCCCCCCCATCCCCCTCACCATCCTCCTCCTCATCGTCATCATCTATCACCTGTCGCCCCCCTCGTCGTCTCTGCGCCGCCTGGCCTCGCACCCGCTCCCCGTCCCGCTCCCCCTCCTCCTCGTCGCTCCCCTTCCTATTTCCCCCAATGCCTTCCCGCCCGCTTCCCCCGTTCATCTCTTCTCTCCGCCCCTCCGCCCTCCCCTCCCCCCTGTCCCCCCTCTCCCCACCCTCTCGGCGGTCGTCCCAGTCGTCACCCGAGCCGCTTCCTCGCCTGCCACGTGGCTGCGAATTTTTGGCGGGAAGAAAAGGAAACTAAGACTGTGAACAGAGAAAGAAGTCAACGCGACGCTACAACGGAAGGCATGAGCATTAGGTTCCCAGATTGAAAGGATGCCAGTTTTCTTAGCATCCATCACGCTATTGAACTTGGTGGATGATGGTACCAACCAACCATCCACCACGTTCAATAAACTTGAGCGTGGAGGACGGCAGTGTCAAAGGATGCTAACGAAAACTGAAAAGCTGCCGCCGGGCGGCGGCCGTGGGAGAATGATCACGTGGCGTGCACCAGTTCATCGCCCACCTCATCCTTCGCACTCGCGTCGCTGCCCGAGCGACTCAAGCTGCGACGTGGGCGATCGTCGCCAGAGCGCGCAGGGCTGCCCTTTTCGTCGCCCGAGCCGTCCGAGTCGGCCCCGAAGAGCGACTCCATTACGTCGTCGCGCCGCTCCGCCATGATGGCTTTAGGCGGCTGCTAGTGCTGGCCTACAGCACGTGGCTTTAAGCGGTTGCTGCTGCTGACCTACGGGGACGTGGCGAAATGAAATTGGCGTAGAGAACCAATGAGACGGGTTCCAAAAAAGGTAGGTGCAAAAGACTATGCCGCAAGAGCCGGCAGAGTACTAGCAGTGCCGCCGCCAGTTCCGCCTGAATTAATCTTACGATTTCAAAGCGTGGTAAGGGGAAAATAAAACAGGTGTGGAGGTGAAGCAATGCACAAACACCGAATGTGCTTGAAGCGAATCTGAGGGCGGGTCCAGCGCGTGCCTTTACAAGTTCAAATCTAAGGGCGCATCACCTCGGGGCTGGAAGGCCCAAATCCGAACATACGTAACGAATTCACTGTACGAACAGTTTCCCGACGAGATCCGAACACAAATTTGAACACCTTGGTGAATGTGACAGCTCGTGACTAGAGGTGACAGCCTGTTCGAACATGCGACGTCGCCAAGTGCTGGACGACTTCGCGAAACGTCGCAAAAAAATAATTCTGTCGTCTGCCATTCAAGTTTGACTCATTTTTCGCCCATCCAGTCAAACAGTCTCTTCGTGCTCTTCTACTACTGCTCACCTTGTTGTTTCCCAACAACAATGTCCTTTTTGATGAACTTTCTCCTGCATGGCGACATTTGCAATGGTCGCAAACATTCGAGTGCGACCCGAAGCCTGCTAACCAATAAAATCAGTCGTCCATGCGGAATTCCTGTCACCAAACCCAACTTTGTTCGAACAACTCTGTTCGAACGTGCGGAATGGAGAGCTTCGTGCCCCGTGTGACAACTCTGTTCAAATTCGCGAAATTTCCGACTAGCGACGTCACGAACACCCATACGAGGAGTGGCGAAAAATGTGACATTTCGCCTGTTCGAACAACCGTCTTGTTCGAACTGAGAGGTGAAGCGCCCTAATGTAGCATGGGAAGAACTTTGTACTGAACACGGCTTTGTATTCTCACACAGCCCTAGTTGAATCTTGTTTGGTTTCGCAACATAACATCTCGTCGCTCGAGAGCCAATCAGTTCGTGTCCGTAGGGTTGACATTACAAGTGAAGGCGTGTCAACCCAAAGCACATTCAAATTAGAGTGTCAAGCACTGTAGTGGCAGTGTCGATTCAAAGCGCATGTACGAACATCAGCGACGCAATTTCATTGGTTTGAAAATTTGTCATGGCTAGATCTGCTAGGCAACGAACAAGTCAAAAGACATATTGTGTGCTGATTGGGCAGCATCTGGTCGTGAGATAGGTACCTGCGAATATCTTCTTTCGTTTGTAGGTTTGTCTGTGCCAATTTCAAAAGTGTTCGACGATTTGTATTGGCTGGCAACCTGCAATTTCTTGACACTCTGCCAGCATGTTGGCAGAGTGTCAAAATGCCAAGTTGACACTGCCCACTTTGACATGTCATCCCTACGGACACGACCTCACTATGGTTGTAACCAGTGCGTGGGTGTGCGGGGTGGGAACATTGACAAACTTTGAAAATGTCGAGAGCTGAACTCTGACGATGTATTGGAGCTTTCAGATCTCAACATTCCCCAGTGCTCCACTTCTGCTCACAGTGATGCGCTGACATCTCTTTGATGTGCTGATTTCTAGGCTGCAAAATTACAACATACCACCTTCCTCCTCTTGGTTGGGTGGGACCGGAAGTCTCAAGTACCGCAAAACTGCCTCAACCTTCCTCCTCTTGGTTGGGTGGGACCGAGTAGAGAAAGACCACACTACAAAGTCTCGTAACAGTCATGAATGTTGTCGTCGGCAGTGCAAGTATAAAATTAGAACGATGCTGAGCGGTGGCGAACAACGCACGATGAACAGTTCGTGTCGCGTCAACAGCTCGCGCATGGTTTACAAGGTTCGAGTTACAGCACCAGCTGAAGTGGTGCAACGCGAATCCGACGATCGGATCAAGTACAGTATGTCTGACTAGTGGAACAGTGAAACCCGGTATCGGATTGTTCGTCTGTTTCAGATGTTCTTGATCCTGACGTTCCAAGCGTGTCGCACAGTCATCGATAGTGTCGCTCAGTCTGATCCGTCAAACTCCTGCTTCACATACGAGGCGCGGCGTCAGCTGGCGGAAAACGGTTCGAGGAAAGGGAGGCATGTCTGTCTTTACAAATGAGACGCATCCGCTCCACTTTTGGGTTCTTAGGTGGTGTACCTATCCCGTGAATCAAGTGTAGCAAGCGAAGCTTTCAACACCGGGTACAACCGTCGAAATGCCTTCTGTGAGGAGTGTGCAGGGGGGAGCATCGAGTGGCGACGAAGCGGGTGTGCCTCCTGCCGCATCTGCCTCTGCGAGTGTGCCTCCTGCCGCATCTGCCTCTGCGAGTGTGCCTCCTGCCGCATCTGCCTCTGCGAGTGTGCCTCCGTCCGGGTTTGCCGCTGAGAGTGTGCCTCCGTCCGCGACCCTGGTTGCGGAGGAAAGCACGCTAAGCCACGAGGAGGCGGAGTGGGATTGGATACACCTATTCAAGATGACTGAGCAGTGGCTTCGCCACGGGAGCGAGGGCGAACGAGGGGCAGCAGCGCGACGACAAAGCGGCGGCAGGAGAGCAGCGACTCACGCAGCATCAGAGCAGCGGCATCAGCTGCTGTCGCGGGCAGACATGGTACATTACATGGACGTGAGGGGCGCGTGGGATTGGCAGGAGTGCGAGTGCTGCTTCGACCGCGCAGTGAGCTACCGAGCAGAGCGCGCGCTGGGCATAGTCCGCCTGGCAGAATTCCGTTCCGACCTTCGCGACCAGCTTCCCAGCTCCATCCCCCTTGCGCCCCAGGACCAACCATCCAGCGCCATCGTTGAGTACTCAGCACGAGCACCCATGAAGGCTTTGGAGCCTCTCGAGAGTTGGCCGCCCCAGCGGCTGTTCGGCTTTAAGTGTGCTGTGGCGCCGATTCGCTGTGCCGAGGCGATGATTCTCGAGTGGATGGCGGAGCCTCGTGTGGGCGTGCTCGTGGACCTGGGGAGGATCAGATCCCGCCTGCCTGCCATACTGACCGGTGCAGATGCTGCTACAGCCGCACCTGCACCTGCACCTGCTCCTGCTCCTGCAGCAGCTGCTGCTGCCTCTGCTGTTGCGAGTGGAACGTGGGCGAGTCGGTGGGTTGCCTACCGGCGTGCGGTCAGCTTCGCTGCCTTCCTTGTGCTTGTAGCGAGGTTCCCGCGCGTTGTGAACCTGAAGAAGGCGTCTATGTCCCGAGAAACGTCAGCTTATTCGGAAATCGTGGCGGAGATGGGGGCGGGCAGGCAGGCTAAGAACGACTGCTTTGCGTCCGTGCTGGTGCAGGTGCTGGGGGTGAAGGAGAGTGGTGACCTGCAGGAAGGGTTTGGGTGCTTCGTGCAGCACCTTCTGTTAGGCGGGCTGGAGGAGGCGCATTCCAAGGGGAGGGGGGGAACGGAGGGGAAGGGTCCTGAGAATGCGCAGTGGGATGAGAAAAGGGGGACCGGGGGGAAGGCTGCTGAGGAGGCGCAGGGGGAGGAGGGACGGGTGGAGGGCGAGGTGATGGATAGAGGTGGGGCCATGGAAAAGGAGGAGGAGCTGTTGGGTGCTCTGGCAAGGTTGGTTATTACACAGGGTGATTCTGGTGGGGGGAGTGGCGGAGGGGAACCGAAGCATAGCAGCGAGGCGAGCAGAGGGGAAGAGAGGCGCAGCAGCGAGGCGGCTAATGGGGCTGCTGGGGCGCGTGGCAGAGGGGGGAAGAATGGGCAGTGGAGGGAGAATCTAAAGGGGCGTGTGTGGGAGAGGTATGTGGATGGCATGGCATGGATTCTGGCGCATGGAAGGGGGGAAGTGAGGGAGTTTCGATGCAGCCACTGCAGTGAGGGGGGCAGCAATAATGGCGGTGACGTGCAGGGGAATGGTATTCCCAAGGGCATGTATGTGAGTGGGGTGGGCGCCACGGATTTCGCCCTTGCGTTTGCCGCAGAGCTGTCTAAATCAGAGAGCTGCGCTGAGGCGTGTATGTACATATTCGATGGGAACAATGCCAACAAGGCGCGGGTGGAAGAGGCTGCAATCGAGGCAGCTAGAAGCAGGCTGAGAAGAGGGGTTGGTGGAACGGGCGGAATATGGGGTTTAAGGGGAACAGGAGGAGAGGGGACAGCAGCAGACACGAGTGGGGCAGCAGCAAGCTCAAGTGGGGCAGCAGCTAAGACCAGTGGCAGTGGGGCATCAGCTAACTCCAATGGCAGTGGGGCGACAGCTAACACCAGTGGGGGAGCAGCAGACACGAGCAGGACAGCAGAAGCATCGGCAGTGGGGGATGCATCTGCTGCCCGTGCTTCTGCTTCAGCTGAAACCTGGCCTTCTGCTACAAGACAATATGGCACTTGCGCCAGCTACACTGCTGGCCTCGTGCTTGTAAACGCAAGTTCTTTCCTCGCAGCCTTCACATACCGAGTTGCCCGCATCTTACAGTGGGTCCGATTCTACGGCTCAGATGTTGTCTTTGTGAGAAGATGCTTCAGGTGTAAGCCACAGAACAGGGTCCTGCAAATGCCCCATCCGTTTCGAGGCCTCCCGAGCCTGCTGCTCGGGCTCGGCGCCATCCCCAAGCCTCTGGATGACGCTAATTTCCCTATAGAGTGGAAGGAATGGCCACAGGGCGATGAAGCTGCTGGGAAGCTTCCTGATGATCGTGAAGCGAGATTCTTTCAGCTGGGTATTGTGGAGGAGAGTGCGACGGGGGTGGGGAGTAAGCAGGGGTGCGACAGCGACAGGGTAACAGAACAAACATCAAAGTCTGGGAGGAAGCACATGAGTGGGAAGAAGGGGCGAAGAGGCAAGGCATCTGGCCAAGGAAGTGATTTGAGAGGTGGTGACACAAACAGAGGGTTTGGCGAACACCAAAGGGGGGGAATCTTAAACCCATCCGGCATGGCTGCTGTCGCGCAGTTGCCTCGGGGATGACAGCTTCCCATCGTCCGCTGCGTGGCGGATGCAGAGTTTCTAGTGGAAGCCGTGAGCCTGGTGGTGAGTCCACCGGCATGCGCCTACTGCATCCACTGCTACCGCGGCTACACGTGCACCATCCCATCCATCGCCCTCATTGCCAAGTTCGCCTACCGCCCTCTGCACGTCCTCTTCAACCGCTTTCTATCCGTCTTCCCGCCGCACTCCGCTGGGTTTGACACTCTTGTGGAGGTCATGGGGTTGTGGCCGGCGCCGCTTCCATCCTGCGCGCCTGGGTCTGTCGGTCTGGCGAGGATGCGTGGTGAGATAGAGGGGCAGGGGGTTGCGTTCCTGCTGCTCGTGGCCCTCATGTGGCCGGCTTCCCTTCTGGATGTGGAGCAGTTTGAGGGAGTACGGCTGCTGGAAGGGGACGGGATTCGAGTGCAGAAGGGGATGAAGAGGGGGAGGAAGAAAGGGAAAGCGAGGGGAGGGGTGGGAAAAGGATGGGAGGTGGAAGAGGCGGAGGAGGAGGAGGAGGAGGATGATGGAGAGGTGTGGGAGGAGTTGCAGTCGTGGTGCTTCGCGGCGATGGTTGCTTGGCCGTCCAGCATGCGTGTCACATTGAGCGATCCCGGAATCGAATCGGCAAGTACAGGTCTGAGTGATGTGTGTACGGCCAGCGAGGGGCGGCAGAAGAAGGCAGACGTGAAGACAAGGGTTGCTAAGATGTTCGAGACTGGTGCGGTGAAGAGGATTAGAGAAAGGGTGCAAGTGCAAGGCCAGAGTGGTGCTGCAGAGAGAAGCAGCAGTAGCAGCAGTGGCAGTGACGTGGTAACGGGGGGCGGCACTGCTGGTGCTGGCAGCGTTAGCGGCGGTAGCAGTGGCAGAGGAGTGTGTGATGGTGGTGGCACTAGCAGTGATGTTGCTATTGCTGGTGATGGCGCTGGTGCTGGTGCTGGTGCTGGTGCTGGTGCTGGTGCTGGTGATGGTGCTGGTGGTGCTGATACTGGTTGTGATGGTGATGGTACTGGTGGTATTGGTGCTGGTGCTAGTGCCGGTGCTGGTGCCGGTGCTGGCAAGTGCGTTGGGGGAAAGGGCAAGAGGGTGGAGATGCCGGGCTATTTGAAGGCATGGCCGGGGGGAGTCAATCTGGTGGCATGCCTGCGAGAGATGCTGCTGGGGGAGCCCTGCTACCGCCCTCTCTCCCCTGCTGCCCCTTTCCTCCCTCCTGCTGCTGCTGCAGCGCCAAGCACAGCTGCTTCCGCCTCTACCACTCCTGCTGCAGCTGCTGCTGCTGCTGCTGCTCCAACAAATGTTGTTTCTCCAAACACTGCTGCCTCGTCTACCCACCCACCTGTGCACACTCTTGCTACCATGCCAATCTGTGATGCCTCGTCCACCCATGTCACCCCAACTACTAGTGCTGCGCTAGGCCCTGCAGCTGCAGGTGCACCCGTTGCAGATGCAGAGGCCTGTGGTCCTGGTGTTTGCAGGGAGAGTAGGTGCGGTGCTGCGGGGTGTGGGAGGGAGGAGGGTGGCGGTGTGAAGCTGAGGAGCTGCGGTGGGTGTGGCAAGGTGGCGTATTGCAGCAGAGAGTGCCAAAAGGCGCACTGGCCCTCTCACAAGCTCTCATGCCCCGGCAGGACCAGTGGCAAGAAGAGAAGAGAAGATGGGAGGAGGGATGGTGGCAGGAACAGTAGCAGCGATGGTGGCAGCAACAATGGTAAGGTGAGTGGCAAGGTGGGTGTAAGGTGGGTGTAAGGTGAGTGGTAAGGTGAGTGGTAAGGTGAGTGGTAAGGTGAGTGGTAAGGTGAGTGGTAAGGTGAGTGGTAAGGTGAGTGGTAAGGTGAGTGGTAAGGTGAGTGGTAAGGTGAGTGGTAAGGTGGGTGTAGGGTGAGTGGTAGGGTGAGTGGTAAGGTGAGTGGTAAGGTGAGTGGTAAGGTGGGTGTAGGGTGAGTGGTAGGGTGAGTGGTAAGGTGAGTGGTAAGGTGAGTGGTAAGGTGAGTGGTAAGGTGAGTAGTAAGGTGAGTGGTAAGGCGAGTGGTAAGGCGAGTGGTAAGGCGAGTGGTAAGGCGAGTGGTAAGGCGAGTGGTAAGGTGAGTGGTAAGGTGATGAACCTTGCCAATCTCCTTGGAAGTGTAAGGGTGTAGGAAGGAGCATGTACTGCAAGTTGCACAGGGGTACAGTTGGGTTCTGAAACATCCTTTTTGTGGGAGGTATGGCTGTATGAATCTTCGTTTTTGTGTCCTATTTCTCGTTTGACTTGTGTAGCAAGTGCTGGAGTTGCTATATGCTATTATGGCTCATGTTGTTTCGTACACAGGTCCATGGGATTTGTTTATTCCCTCCTCTCCCTGCCGCTCTTTCCCTTTCCCTGCATGTTCCCCACCCACTTCAGCCTCATCTCAACCAGTTTTTCCCCTCCTCACAAACTCACCCTTGAAACATGTCTCGCAAGTCCCAATTCCCTGGTTTGCGCAGGGCTAAGCTGACATGACGCACCCAGTTTGACCTTCATGCCGATACTTCACCTTCAACTCCTCGTTTTCAAGTTATTTGCCTGCCCTGTTATTCTGAGTGTACAAGTAGGAGACTACCATTTAGCCTAACACTAACTGAACCTTCCCTGGCCCTATCTGTGTAAAAAAATGCTTACTACCACTGTATTTTCGCGTGTATAGGACCCGGGAGTCTTTCTAATAATTCAATGAAAATGGCTAGGGTGGTGGTGAACATTATGGAGAATGGAAATAAGGTAAGACCCCCATACATTGATGCATTGACCACATCATAACTCCACATCCATAATCCGGTGTGCAAATGTGAAGTTGTGCAAGATGGTGCCTTAAAATTGCTAACGTAGTATCGTAGGGGTAGGGGAGTACCGTATCACCTCGGATAAAAGCGCAGGTGCGCTTATAATAAAACAGTGTTTTTTGGGGGGTGCGCTTGTAATTGAGTCATTTGTATAAGCGCATGCGCTTATATTATGACATTGAATTGTAATTTGAAGACACCAAATTGTATATTTCACTCTTGCCATTTCAACCGAGTCGCTCTTTTTTCCCGTCACAAAGCAGAATCGCGTGCAAGCGATTCTCTTCCAGCACAGAGGGGCCAAGATGCGACACTTTGCAGTCATGCCAGCACATCCTGACTGGACGCGCAGCCAGTCAGGTCTTCGAGAGTCAAGCTAGGCGAAAATGAGATTGTACTCGCTTCGAAATTGAAACTCGCTAAAGTTTTAAACAGAAATTTTGATTTAAAATTGTACATGCGCTTATAAAAAGTAATGTTTTCACAGGGGGTGCACTTATAATTGAGGATCGGCCATAAGCGCATTGCTCCAGATAGAAGCGCACGCACTTATCATAGGCCTGCGCTTCTATCCAGGGTGATACGGTAACTCGCGCTTTGACAGCGTTCCATCCACTCCCTGCATAGAAGATCTGCGGGACTCTTACCGGATGGTCCTATATATGGGAAAATACGGTAACACACATATTGATAGGGAGCAATTTTTAGGCCTTTAAACATACGGAGTCTTGCCATACTGTCCAATACAATACACCAAGTCAGAAGCCTAACTCTGCTTGTGACATATTCAGTAGAGCCGGCAACGCCGATGGCATGAATTTTCGTGCAAAAAGGAAGCAATGTCTATGCTCCGAGCCAAGTGCACAATACCCGTTGTCATAATCCTGCGCAGCAGAATACAATACAAAATGCCATCAGGTCAGGAACATGATGCGCAACAAGTACTAGAAAAAAAATGTTAAAAAAAGTTCAGCGTAGCGTATGTAACAGACAACTTACCTTGACCGGTTTTCCTGTGCTTGGGTCCAGCACCTGCACAAGACCAATAGAGCAGAGTGCCGTCAGCCACCAACGGGGAAAAAAAAAAAAAACAAAAAACAAAACAAAAACCTTAACAAATAAGTATATGGTTGGCGTTCAAAGTCAGAAGTGCCTGGTACACCACTGGGAAGGGAAGCATATGACATTTGGTGATGGTACCCCAGTTACGAAATGTTTCCAGGTTACGTACGACACTCAACAGGTATGGACAGTCAACATCACTCAAACCCGAAATTGCCCTCGCCAGATGGCTCTTGTACAGGTTGCGAATGTGATGCTAGTAAGGCAAAAACTCAGGACAGGTGCATTCCGCGCCCAGCTCTCAGCACCACACCGCACCACACCATTCAACAAGAAGGGGCACCCAAGAAAGCATATATCCCAAGCAGCCATCACCAGGTGACTCGTGTACACCTTGTGCATCCGATGCCAGTAGGACCAACACAGGACAGGAGCAGTCTATGCCCCAGCTCTCAGCACCGCACCATACCGCACCATACCAATCAACAAGCAGCACTCACCAGGTGGCTTTTGCAAGACTTGCGGAAGCGATGCAAGTAGGGGCAGCATCGAAGAGGAGCGGCCTATGACACCCAACAGTCATGGCAGTCTCAGCCCCAGCTCTCAGCAGCGCACTGCACCACAACACCCATCAAACCTGGGCAACCCTCTCACCAGATGACTCTTGTACGACTGGCGAATGCGATGCCAGTAGGGACGCCATGCAATGTACCGATCCTCGCACTGCATGGGTGGATCAGGCAGCGGGATAAGACAACTCAGCCAGAGGGATACGACAACTCAATGCTCATTTTAGGTTGTTGACACAATGAAATGCATTACATGGTATCTTAATTTGTCATAAAAAGAGAGAGGTGGTGTTCTCAACAGAATACCCTCCCAAGAATCCTAAAAAAACTGATGTGCAGTTCGGAGTACCACTATAACGAGGACCTTGATTTGCCTGAAAAGGAGGGGACTTTTGAGTCGACTCAAAAGACGCTTCGGAGCACCACCATATCGGGTACCTTGATTTGCCTCAGAAGGAGCGAGGTGGTGTTGTCCACGGAGTAGGCCTTGGGATGCCACTTGCGATTAACTGGTTTCGAACCGCTGCAAGCCTTCTAAGAGTCTATGAACCATCTAAAGTACTGATTCTACTAGTCTGAAAGAATGAGGGAAGTTGTAAACAATGGTATTTCAGTCAGGACGCCAGACACATAGGCCCGGATGCCACGTGCGAACGCGTTTCGGCCAACTAAGGCCTTCACGTGCGTAAGGGTACCTTGATTTGCCTGAGAAGGAGCGAGGTGGTGTTGTCCACGGAGTAGGCCTTGGGATGCCACTTGCGCTCCGTCCAATCCACAAACGTCACCGTGTAGTTGGACACGCCTCCTGGATCCAGCTTCTGCCAGGGTTAGCAAGGAAGAGGGGGAGGAAGGAAGAAGGCAAAGAAGGAAAGGTAAGAAGGTGAAAGAGAGGGATGTGTCACCTGGTACTTCAACATTTTCTTGGATTAAGCTTCTGCTGGGGAAGAGAAGGAAACATTAGAGGGAAATAGGCGAAGGAAACGGGCGAGAACGATGGAGGAAGGGAAAACAAGCCAGGTGAGAAAGAGACCGAAGGGTGTCATCGTGTAGTTGGTTGGACCACCCCTCCTGCCAGCTGCTACGGAGGAGAAACGGAGACGAGGAAAAGGGCAGGAAGAAGAAAGAGGAAGAAGAAGACGAGCGGATGTCACGTCACGATGTGAATGGAAAATCTTGTCCATGTGAATCCATGTGACTCTATCCCTCCTGGGTCCACTTTTGCCAGAGACGAAAACGGAAAAGGGAAGTGAAGGAAGACGGAAGGAGGGCGATGGCAAAGCATACCTGAGATAGCACCTGAGCATCCCTTGATTGAGATACCAACTTCAGCAGAGCATATCTCAACTGAAATATCATCTTGCAACTCATATGTGAGGTGTCACGTCACCTCATTACGCATACCTGGAAGAGTGTTTGAAGGTAGTGCTCGTCCGAGTAGCAGTTCTTGAACTCCCGCTTTGGCTGCACAGACATACAGACAGACAGACAGACAGACAGACAGACAGACAGACAGACAGACAGACAGACAGACAGACAGACAGACAGACAGACAGACAGACAGACAGACAGACGAGGACGGAGGGACGGAGGGACGGAGGGACGGAGGGACGGAGGGACGGAGGGACGGGGACGGACGGAGGGACGGACGGAGGGACGGACGGAGGGACGGACGGGAGGGTACGGGACGGAGGGACGGACGTAGGGACGGACGGAGGGACGGACGGAGGGACTGGACGAGGGACGGAACGGAGGGACGGACGGAGGGACGACGGAGGGACGGACGAGGGACGGACGGAGGGACGGACGGAGGACCGACGGACCGACGGACCGACGGACCGACGGACCGACGGACCGACGGACCGACGGACCGACGGACCGACGGACCGACGGACCGACCGACCGACCGACCTACCGACCGACCGACCGACCGACCGACCGACCGACCGACCGACCGACCGACCGACCGACCGACCGACCGACCGAGCCGACCGACCGACCGACCGACCTACCGACCGACCGACCGACCGACCGACCGACCGACCGACCGACCGACCGACCGACCGACCGACCGACCGACCGACCGACCGACCGACCGAGCCGACCGACCGACCGACCGACCGACCCGACCGACCGACCGACCGACCGACCGACCGACCGACCGACCGACCGACGACCGACCGACCGACCGACCGACCGACCGACCGACCGACCGACGACCGACCGACCGACCGACCGACCGACCGACCGACCGACCGACCGACCGACCGACGACCGACCGACCGACCGACCGACCGACCGACCGACCGACGACCGACCGACCGACCGACCGACCCGACCGACCGACCGACCGACCGACCGACCGACCGACCCGACCGACCGACCGACCGACCGACCGACCGACGACCGACCGACCGACCGACCGACCGACCGACCGACGACCGACCGACCGACCGACCGACCGACCGACCGACCGACCGACCGACCGACCGACCGACCGACGGACCGACCGACCGACCGACCGACCGACCGACCGACCGACCGACCGACCGACCGACCGACCGACCGACCGACCGACCGACCGACCGACCGACCGACCGACCGACCGACCGACCGACCGACCGACCGACCGACCGACCGACCGACCGACCGACCGACCGACCGACCGACCGAGCCACGGACAGACCGACCGAGGCCGACCGACCGACCGACCGACCGACCGATCGACCGACCGACCGACCGACCGACGGACGGACGGACGGACGGACGGACCGACCGACCGACCGACCGACCGACCGACCGACCGACCGACCGACCGATCGACCGACCGACCGACCGACCGACCGACCGACCGACCGACCGACCGACCGACCGACCGACCGTACCGACGGACGGACCGACGGACCGACGGACCGACCGACGGACCGACCGACCGACCGACCGACCGACCGAACCGACCGACCGACCGACGGACCGACCGACGACGGACGGACGGACGGACGGACGGACCGACCGAACCGACCGACCGACACGACCGACCGACCGACCGACCGAAGCCGACCGGACCGACCGACCGACCGACCGACCGACCGACGCGACCGACCGACGACCGACCGACCGACCGACCGACCGACCGACCGACCGACCGACCGACCGACCGACCGACCGACCGACCGACCGTCCGACCGACCGACCGACCGACCGACCGACGGACGGACGGACGGACGGACGGACGGACGGACGGACGGACGGACGGAAGGACGGACGGACGGGCGGAAGGACGGACGGACGGACAGACAGACAGACAGACAGACAGACAGACACAGACAGACACAGACAAACAGACAGACACAGACAGATAGACAGATAGAGGCAGGTGAGCACGAGCAAGCGTACTTATGAGAGAGTGAACTTATGAGAATTTCAGAGTGTGCACAGGATATTGAAAGGGTTTCTCTCTAATGATTATTTCTACACAGCGCAACAAAAAGCAAATCTCCAAAGTGAGTACTGCAACAAGAATGTATGATCGGGCGTAAGGGATGGAGGGAGGGAAGGGAGAGAGGGAGGGAGGGAAGGAGGGAGGGAAGGAGGGAGGGAGGGAGGGAGGGAGGGAGGGAGGGAGGGAGGGAGGGAGGGAGGGAGGGAGGGAGGGGGATATGGGAGGTGTTCTTATATTGAATCGATGGCAACCAAGGATCAAAAATACGGCTATCGTATTATACGGGGCGTTTTTTTCGATGGTATAATACGTTCGGTTTTCCAAAAATTTTGTCGTTTTTTTGTTGGCCCTTTTTGAGTCAGAATTTTTCCAGAATCTACTGAAATGGCTACAACAAAGACTAGGAAACCGATAACAACCTACAATAAGGAGAAACAGGCATGCTAAGGTCCACTAATTCTGCCGCTACCCCTATGCATACCTAGGCAAGTACCGGCCTTTAGCCTATATCTCCTCCTAAGTCCATCCCCACCCCACTATACTCACCCTGCTGCCTTCTATTCTTCACCACCTCGTCATCCTCTTCCTCCTCCCTCCCCACTCTAACCGTCATACTCCTCGTCATCCTCTTCCTCCTCCTCCTCCTCCCCACTTGAACCGTCGCTGCAATCCCAAGCATATCGCCCCTTGGGATTCAGGGTAGGCTCTTCCTCCTCCCCACCGCTCTCTTCCGCCTCCTCTTCCTCCTCTGCATCCCCTGCTTTTCCTTTCCCCTTTCCCTTGCATGCACCGTTGCCCTTCCCCCTCTTCTTCCCTTCAGATGACTTACCCGCCTTCCCTTTCCTCTTCTTGCCGATGCTCCCAAATTCCGACCAATCAATGGTGCATTCCTCCTCCACGGGTGCCTCCTCCTCCGCATCCCCTTCCTCCACCTCCACTTCGGCCGGGATGATGGCAGCCCCTTCCCTGAGGGTGCCGTTGCCCAGGTCCTGATAGAGCTTGGAACGCAGGGCTGCCTTTCGATCAAAGGCATCACGGGCCCGCCGGGTGAAGGCGACGAAGGTGACGTCAGTCATCTTCTTCGCCGTGAGGCGGTTCCGGTCGCGCCTCTGCACACGTGCCAGCGCCGACCAGTACCTCTCCACTTCGGAGGAGGTGACTGGCTGTGACAAAGACGTCACAGCCAGGTCTTGGAGCGCCTGCACCTCCCCACCAAACAGGAACCACCATTCCGCCTCCGTCATGCGCCCCGCCTCCACCAAGGTAGTTGCTGCCCAACGGGCATCGTCAGAGCCCAACCTGCCCTCCCCTCGGTGAAACTGAGCCACCTGTGCAGCTAGCGTTATGCGCTGCTGCACATCTCCGCCCCGGGCCTGGATTGCCTCATCCACCCCCTTCCTAATCTCTTTGTCATTCCTTACCTCCCCAATGTACTGGTTACGGGGGTTGAGGAGCCAACCGATGGCATGCAGGGGGTTGTGCAGTTGTGCGTCCCACCTCCTGGCAATGATCGCCTTGATGGAGGTGAGGAAAGTGCTCCTGTCCTTAGGCAACAGCAGACCCGTCCGCTTGATGAAGTGTGCGGCTGCTCACAGTGAATAAAGAGCACTAATTAGATAGGAAGCATGAGCAGGTGGGTGGAGAGATTAACAATCAATACCCATCGCGTAATACTATCAGCCGTCTCACTCACCAGCTGTCTCAGCCGCCGCATTAGTCTTCACCGTGGCTTCAAGCATGAGGCCGTACAGCTGCCCCATGACTTGAGCCCGTGTGTCGACGGCGCGGAGAACCTCGTAGATGGGAGTCATGAGGCGATGCACGGCCGTCCCACAGTCCCAAAAAACGTCGTCCAAAAGCAGCTTCCTAACCTCCATCCCCTCCTCCGTCCGTGCCACCGCTACATCCTCCCATTCCTCGCTGATTTCCATCGCCCTCAACGCGCGCTTCACCTCAAGGAACCTGCCGAGCATGATGACCTGGGTGCCAAATCTCGTTGCACCAGGCCGCACCAACGAGAGCTTGGTAAAAAGCTCACGGAACAAGACCACGGCCGAGGCGGAGCCTTTGATCATCATCACGACCTGATGCACTTGGGAAAGGACGAGTTTCACCGCAGGGATCTTGCCGATGTCATGCAGCATGAGGTCGAGGCAGTGGGCGGCGCAGTTGGTGAAGAAGATATGGGGATAATCCGCGCTTAGCTTGCTGGCGGCGTTTTTGTTGTTCGAAGCGTTATCCATCACGACTTGGATGACATGCTTCGGCCCCACAGTGGTGATCGCTCCCTGAATAACGTTGCCAAGTAGTCCCCGGTTTTTTTTACGGTCTTCGAGTCAACGATGTCGACGATGACGGGTGCGGTGTCATTTTGCGCGATGACACACACAAAACCGCGGGATTTGATGTCCGTCCATCCATCGACGGAGAGCGAGCACCCGCTGGTCTTCCAGCTCTCCTTCACCGGCCGCAGCAGGTCCTCGGAGTCCGCCTTCAGCTTGTCCAGCAATGGGCCGGATACCTTGTACGGGGTTGGGAGGGTGTACGGTTTCGCGTACATGATCACCGCGTCAACGAACGCCTGGATCGATTTCAACTTGCTGACGTTGAAGGCGAGGTCGTTCTCGGCAACTGCAGCAGCCCACAGGTAATCAAGGCGATTATGCGCAACTTGGTCCGTCATATCACGGATATCTCGCTGCCGGGAGCGACGCACGGGCGGCGCCTCCACCGAGGACGTGGAGGCACGGGTTGATCCTCCCGTAGCATTTTCCGTGGTCGAGCGCTCCTGATCGGCTGTCGCCCGCAACTGCTTAGCGTAGTCCGACTTGCACATCGCAACGTTCTTGTCCCTCTTGTTAGTGCCGAACATGTGCTCGCCTATCCTAGTCGCATTAGCCGTCACAGGATTCTTGCAATGAATGCAGGTAGCACCGACTACGTTGCCTTCGTCATCCTTAATCTTAATGACGTGCTCCCAAAACTGAGAAGCGGGGCGCACCATGGCGTTCCACTAGACTATGCTGAGAAAGCGTGGGTCAGAGATTGTTGTTCTGAGATACGGCAGCCAGAGAGAGGATGTGTCGAATGGGATTTTCCTCCTCCAATATGTATCTCTTTGTACTGCTTTGTCGAGGGGTGTTTGAAGAATGGATGACGTGAGATGGGAGATGGATTGGCGTATTACTATTGGCTGGAATTGTGTCGCGCGCAATTGTGCGAGGCGTCAGGATTGGGGGCGAAAAATAAACCCAGCGCGCGAGTTGTGCTAACGACTCCGCGAAACGGGTACCAAGGTTCAAGGGGTTCGCCAATGGTGTACATTTCCGCGCCTCCGAAATTTGGTGTCGTCGCGATTCGGCGAACTACTCAAACGACTCAGCGAAACGGGTAAGCGCTTTTATACCGTTCGTCAGATGTCAAAATGTCGCGCCACGCCATTTTCCTGACATGCGCGACTCGGGCCAAATTCGAGCGAGACTCACAAGACTTCTCACGAAATCCCCCAAAACGAACTCGACGGGGCTGATTGTTGAAATTCGGTGTACACTTTCTCCGTTCTAAAAATTCGGTCGAAAAAAACAATCGTATTTTTAATCGAATTTTAAAAATAACATTTAACCGTACTAAACCGTTTTAAACGACCGTATAATACGATACCGTATAATACAGCCCTAAAATCAATATTTCGGTCGTATTTTTGATCCTTGATGGCAACTCATACTAGAAATGGAGCGTTAAAACCTACTGTTAAAGCAGACAGGCATGGTAGCATGTGAATGAGGAGATAGTTGATTTGCAATTTCTTAAAATTCCCTCACAGAGTAGCTTACTTTGTTGCAGTCCTTTTGCAATTCGAAGATCTGAGACATCCCCAAACTTGGGCGGGCTGATAGGAGGCTTACTTTGCAGTGTTTTTGGAACTTGAAGTAGACTTTTCTGTCTGTGATGACCATCATTGCGTGCCTCCGTTGAAGCACAAACCACTAGAGTCACATCGAAGGCACCAAGGGGAAAAAAATCAAAACAAAAATCCAAAGATAAACAAGCAAGATGGGGATACCAAAGCACAAGAGGACGTTTGCGATTGCAACAGCGATTGTTAAAAGCCTTGTGTTGCCACAAAAACTAGCACCAAGAAGAGTGCAGGGGAGAAAGAATGCAAGCGGAAGTCCAGCAGATAATGCAAAATCGAGACTGTAGGGACGATAGTGACTATAAGCTCAATAAAAGGGGTCGCTAACTAAGCATGTTTCTCTATTGTCAATCCAGTCAAATCACACACCTCCCATGGACAGCAATTGCTGCAGCACGATATAACGAGTATGATACCCACCTGAGATCCCTTTTTGCTGCAGCTAGTTCTTTTTTATCTCATGCCCCATTCAAGTTAATCTGCTTTGTGATATCTCAAAACAAATATACTTTGGCAAAACTGACATACCCACCACCTGAGATTCCTTGTTGAAAACTTTAATCTTTATACTAGCCCCCATCCCTCTTGAGACGTCTCAAACGTTATTACACATGTCACACAGGCATCAACTGTTTGTTGCAACACCTTATAACGAGTACAACACCCACCTGAGATCCCTTCTTGAAGTCTTTCTTTTTTATCTCGGGCCCCATCGCTTCCATGTAGCGACCAAAGCCAATGTTCAGAGGGCAGTCAAACCTGATGGGGATTCCGATGGGGGGATGGGATGGGGATGGGGATGGGGATGGGGATGGGGATGAGGATGGGGATGGGGATGGGGATGGGGATGGGGATGGGGATGGGGATAGGGATGGGGATGGGGATGGGGATGGGGATGGGGATGAGGATAGGGATGGGGATGGGGATGGGGATGGGGATGGGGATGGGGATGGGGATGAGGATAGGGATGGGGATGGGGATGGGGATGGGGATGGGGATGGGGATGGGGAAGAGGATAGGGATGGGGATGGGGATGGGGATGGGGATGGGGATGGGGATCAGGATGGGGATCGGGATGGGGATAAGAGTGAGTATGAAACCACACTCTTCCTTTTCTCAGGCCCCATCCTTTCCATGTAGCGACCAAAGCCGATGTTGAAAGGGCAGTCAAACCTGATGGGAGAGAGATGGGGGGAAGGAGATGGGGCGATGGAGATGGAGGATAGAAATGAGGGGACGGAGATGGGTGGACGGAAATGGGTGGATGGGGATGGGGACGGGGATGGGAATGGGGATGGGGACAGGCATGAATGTAAAACCCCACTTGCGCCTTTCCTCCTATGCAGCGACCACCAGAGCCAATCTTGAGAGGGCAGTCGAACCTGATGGGGATTGGGATGAGATGGGGGAATGGGGATGGGAATGGGGATGGGGATGGGGGGATGGAGATGGGGGAAGAAGATGTGGTGATGGAGATGGGAGGATGGAGATGGGGGGATGGAGATAGGATGGGGATTGGCAAGCGTATAAGAGCACACTCTTCCGTGTCTCAAGCCCCATCGCTTTGATGCACAAATTAAAGCCAATGTTGAGAGGGCAGTCAAACCTGATAGTACGGCGAATGCAGTTTAAAGCAATGGCAGCATGTTTTGCCCATTTCTAAGAGGGATGGCGTCTTGAGTGAAGTAAGCTCTTTCAATTCACCTCTCGACAAAGCTGACGTGACGGTTACGGTGGCATGGCTACATGTTTTAGCGGTGGTGGCGCTGAGTAAGTCTCTTAAGCTTACCTTTCAATGAAGCTGACTGACGTGGTGGCAACGTAATTATAGATATATTGGAAGGACCACAGGGGTATGCAGCTGGTGGGGACACAAGGAAAAACAAGCGGGAGGCAACGCAGTTTAAAGAGGGGGACGAATAGGGACAACGAAGGGGAAGAGAAGGGGAAGAGAAGGGGAAGAGAAGGGGAAGAGGGGAAGAGAAAGGGAAGATAAGGGGACGATAAGGGGAAGAGGGGAAGGGAAAGGGAAGGCAAGGGGAAGAGAAGCGGAGGAGAAGGGAGAAGGGGAAACGGCAAGATTGAATGGGGAAGGCAAACGCCACATCACACCTCGCCTCACCGCCTCATCACACCTCACCCCACCGTGCACTCACCTGTCCGCCCTCCGCCCCACACCCTTTCACTCCCTCTCACACCCAGAAACAGCTCTCCGACCGCACCTCTCCACACTTCTCTCCACACCTTTCAACCGCACCACACCACTCAGAGATGAGCACGAAAAAGAGGTTATCCGGGTCCAACGGGGCGGTCCCAAGCAGCCTTTCACACACTCATTCATACCACTTCACACCGCTCCCCAACCCTCCACACCCACGCACGCACATCGTGCCCCACACCTGCACACCTCCCCACACCCCTCTCCACTCCTTCCAACCGCACCTCTCAGACACAAGGGTGAAGAAGAGGTTATCCGGGTCCAACAGGGAGATTTCCACCAGCCTTCGCTCCGCGTCCACCATGGTGATGTCGCCCCACAGGACCTGACGGGAAGGTAATAAGAGGTTGGGAGGGGTGGAGAGGGGTGGAGATGGGTGGAGAGGGGTGGAGACGGGTGGAGACGGGTGGGGAGGGGCAAATCATCGCCAGCAGTCGTCGCTCTGCATCCACAATGGTGATGTCGCCCAACGGCACCTGAAAGGGGCCAATAGAGGTAGTAGAATCAATAAGAGGTTCAGAGGGGTGGAGCGGGGTGGAGAGGGGTGGAGAGGGCAAAGAATCTTCAGCAGCATTTGCTCCGCGTCCACAATGGTAATGTCGCCCCACAGTACCAGAAGGGGTGAATGGGCGGGTGGGGGTTGGCAGGGGTGGAGAGGGGTGTAGAGAGCAAGCCTTCACTCCGCGTCCACCATAGTGATGTCACCCCACAGCATCTAAAGGGGTGATTTTTGGGGGGGGAAGGGGGACGGGAGAGGGGATTACAGTTCGATTCAGTACAGTACGATTCAGTAAGATTCAATACAGCAGAGCTCTCAATGGAAAGACAGTACAACACAGTACAGCACAGTTCAGTACAGCAAGATTTAGTGATGTGTGGTAGAGCATAATATGCACCATGTGATAAATACCTCGCCACTGGGCACTTGGCGGCCTAGGAAGATGGGCGAGGGGGTGTTATCAGCAGTGATTTGAAAGGACGGGTCGGAGCTGTGCACGTAGATGGAGTAGCGGTGCTCGTGACCCTGCCACGTCAGCAAGACACGTGGCAGTGACACGACAGCAGCAGTCAGCAGTTCACATCAACAGCAGTCAGCAGTGCACATCAGCAGTAAGTGTCAGCATTATAAGATGAGAAGGGAGGGGAACGGCATATGGAGTGTGACGTGTGGACCGTTTTAGGCATAGGGGAAATGATTTGTGATACTGGTGATGCTGGTTATGATAACGTAACAATGGGACAAATTCGACAGTAGAACAACGTAAACAAATTAACGATGGAGCTCATTCCACAGCTTACCTTAAAGAATCTTTCCCATAACGGAGCAAGCGGGATGGTCGATCTCGTGAGGAACAAAAACGCCATCTTCCCGTGTTCCCCACTGCTATACGGATCACCCGACAATTTGATCTCAGCGGGTATTGAACTCGGGTCGAACACGAAGTCCTCCATTCCATCAAATCGAGAATTTTCTTCCGAAACAGTGTATTTCCATCGCGACGCGAACGGGAATAAGCGGCAGTATGGACTAGGAGTGGAGTATGTAAGC